TTTTGAATATACGCAAGAAGTGAGAGCTAATCAGAGTTCCGAGCTCATCTTACCCACCGTTACAATTGGTTGTTTGGGTTGCGACTTACCTCTTGTAGCACTGGGTTAGATACGTTGGTCCATCTGCATCTGTTCGGTGATAAGTACTGATCAAATTCTATATCTTATCTTCAACAACCCACCATGGAGCACTGAGATTGTGAGCATCCTCTAGCTTGGTGGCTACACTGGAAAATAATGGATAGAGTTTGGTCAGCACACAGGAATAGACAACATGAAATTAGCTTCGCTCCAGTGATCAATAAATATACCTTATATAGAGATGCTGGAGACCAGGTACTGCTTAAATACCTCATTGGTGATGTCTGTTAATACAGTACTGGGTGACACGAGTTTGAGCGTCTGAGGAGATATCAGTCTGGTTGAAGCTGCAGATACGCCTTGCTGGCGGGTCCCAACAAGCGGGAAAACTAATTGTCAAGCTTCTTTTTGATACCATCCAAGCAACTAGCATTAATCAACGGGAACTATGATGAAGAATTCGGTCATCACTTAGAACTAAATAACACGAAACTGGTTGCTTTAGATAACCAGTCAAAGTAAACCGAATTATAAGCAAACTGAAAAATACTCTTGCTTAATCAATAAATTTTTCATCGACGAATCAACTGCTCACTAGCTGATGAACTCCAGATGGGTTTTATAGAAACCTAGTAAGAATTCATGATATTATGATGAGTTTTAGCTGGCGGTGGAACTTATGAAGTGTGTTTCATCCTCTTCTGTACTTGTCAGATGGATGTTACTACCTCTAAGTGGGAATCTAACCGAGGACCAATTGCTTTAGACATCACATCGACATCCATTGAGTCACAATAGCCACTCCTTGTGATATGGGTCTAGTATAGTTTATTTTTTTTAATAGTTAGAAAATCAAAGAACTCCTGGTCTTTGAAGTCAACCACTGTTCTAGTATGATGGGAAAGTGCTGACATTTTGGATGTAACTTAGTAGTTAAACGGTCAATTTCTTACTGCAAAAGAATACGATCATGTTTTCCACTATATATGAAGACTAAAATGATGACTGCCAAGAAATCTTGAAATGAGACAAAACAGATGTCCAGTATGCTGCAGTTTTCAACAACTATCTCGCTTTGACTAACTTCTACCGACTTAGTCTTGAATGGTAAGTAGAATTTGGCACTATAGTGGCGTAAAGTGCTTGTTGAGCAAAAAACTAAACACTTTTGATTCGTGTACAGCAATTTCATGAAATCAAAGTCGGGGTAAGCACATACAACTAACTGTATCATCAAGTCAGTATGGTATTCTTGGGCACTAAAAAGGTATTCAGAGTTGGGACTTCACAGTGAAGTGAAGCGGAAACAGTCTCATAATCAATACATTTAGGACTATCAAGACATTCTACATTATTTCTGAAGAAAGTGATAAGATTTCACTGGTAATATTTCGTAGTGCACCTTCTTGGCACCAAAACAATCCCAGATTTAAGATAAGTGAATAAACGTTTAGAAAGTATTAATAAAGACCTCGTCTGGTTAACTAGTTCACTAGTTACTAGCCGGTCCTAAGCCCCGGTAAAGAGGGAAGGTTGGGCATAGGGCTAGCAACCCTACCCCGTAAAACCAGTTCAGCTGCTACAGAAACTTCAAAGCACAAACAAAATACAAAAAATTTAAACAAACTTATTCCTCGCTGGAATCAAAGAGGCGAAATGACGCCAGCTAGGGAAAGCCTTCAGGAAGCCAATTGGTCGATATGTCTTCTCTTGATAGAAGCGGAAGTAAACGTGGGGACATGGAATGTCCGCACAATGTTTGAACCCAGCAAGGCAGCCCAGCTTGCAAACGAGATGAGAGGGTATAGCATTGAAGTGCCAGGCTGTGAATCTGCGAAAGCAGGTGGAATGGGAGTGGACTCTCCAAACTGTCAACTGGAGAATCAATAATCTACTCCGAAACTGTCACCCAGACGACAACCACGAGCACACTGAGGGAGTGGCTATCATGATGTCCCCTTCAACAGCATCGAAGGCTCTCATGCAGTGGAAAACAATCTCCTCCAGGATCATGGCAGCAAGATTCAACTCAAAAGGAAGTAAGGTCAAATCATACAATGTTACACACCTACAAATAATGCAGATCAAGAGAAGAACGAGAAATTCTACAGACAACTGCAGTCAACACTGGACAAGACCCCGTCTCAGTTGGCGATATCAAAATTCTAATGGGCGACATGAATGCCAAACTGCGGGGAGCAGAAAACACAGGAAAAGAACTAACCATGGGCCGAGAAGCGCTAGGTGAACTGAACGAGAATAGATAATTGTTTGCAGAATTCTGTGCATTCAACGACTTGGTGATTAAAGGCAGTGTGTTCAAGCACAAGGATATCCACAAAGCGACATGGATTTCACCAGACATCAGGATACACTAAAAATCAGATCGACTTCATCTCAATCTCAAAAAGTGGAGACGCAGTCTACTTGACACAAGGTCAAGAAGAGGAGCAGATGTAGGCTCAGGAACCTTCAAAATCAAAATAAAAGCCTTCAAAGAAGTTGGTGATAGACCACAGTTCAAGTTCAACACCCAGAAACTGAACTGAAGGACAAAACTACAAAGAAAATCTTCACGTCAGCCACCAGAACAAAATTAGAGAGAGAGACATTGAGTAACATCCCTGAAGAAACCTGTATGGAAGAACGCTGGAACTGTGTGAAAGAGATGTGGAAAGAAACCTGCATAACCGTATTATGAAGGAAGAGGAAACAAGACAAGGAATAGATCTCGACGGACACATGGAAGCTGGTAGAGGAGAGAGAGGAGGATTGTGAAGCAGAAGATGAACCAGTGCATGTGTGAACGACGAGAAGAGGAACTGAGTACAATGTATAAAACACTGGACAAAGAAGTGAAGAGGAGTGAGCGCAAAGACAAAAGGCACTTCCACGAAACACTGGCAAGTGAAGCAGAACAGGCTGGAGGCTGGTAGGAGAGACCTATCAACATTGGATAAAATAACCCGGTTACTATCTGGGAAGAGGTCAACACAGATGAAACCAATAAAAGATAATGGGGGAAATTTAATTACCAAAGAAGAGAAACAAAGGAAACGATGGGCTGACCACTTCAAAAAACTCTTGAATCGACTACTACCTTCACTTCTTCCAGAAATACCACCTGCAGCCACAAAACTACCAGTGAACACAGGCCCCCAGACGAAAGTCGAAGTCCTGAACGCCATAAAGCTACTGAAATGCGGGAAAGCAGAAGACCAGATGGAATCCCGCCAGAAGCACTGAGAGCAGACGCAGAGACAACAGCGGCGGACATGCTCACACCACACCACTATTGCAGAAAGTGTGGAAGGAAGGGAAGGTACCTGGCGATTGAGTGGAAGAAGGGCTACCTTGTCAAACTGCCGAAGAAGGGCGACCTAAGTATTTGCAAGAACTGGCAAGGAATAAAGCTGCTGTCCACACAAAGCAAGCAAAATTTAAGCCGCATCATCCTGGAGAGACTAAAGGATGCGCTCGATTCAAAACTACGACCCGAACAGGCTGGATTCAGGAAGTACAAATCATGTGCAGACGAAATTGCAACACTTCGCATCATCACTGAACAGAGTATAGAATGGAAGTCAACCCTCTACCTCAACTTCATCGACTTTGAAAAGGCTTCGATAGCGTCGATCGAGAAGTAATTTAGCAGTTGCTTCAAGACTACGGAATACCATAAACCTTTATCAATCTCATTCAACAACTACATGAAGATGCCACATGCCAAGTAATTCACAATGGGAAGCTCAGTGATGCTTTTGAAGTGAAGACAGGCGTAAAACAAGGCTGTCTAGTATCACTTATGTTATTCCTGATTGTATTCGACTGAATCATGCAGCAAACAGTGAGGAGCGAGAAGAGGGGGGTACGCTGTTTGACTGATGATACGAATAAGTAACAAGGAACTCTGGCTGTCAACGAACCAACTAACTAAGAACCTATTGTTGAACAAATATGCACTGGAAGGAAGTGGAGATGTACTGAGCATACACTGAGAAGGCCGACAGGGGACATCACGAGTCAAGCTAGACTCCCGAGTGGAACCAGTGTAGGAAAAGACGAGTTGGGAGTCCGGAGTGGGGGTAATATGGAGGAGATCATGTGAGGAGGAAATGAGAGGTTGTGGGCTGTCGTGGAGCCAGGTTCAAAAGATTGCAGAGAACAGAAAGGAATGGAGGCGTACTACTGAGGCCCTATGTTCCACTAGGAACCCAAGGGACAAATAATAATAATATGATAATACATAATGCTTTACGGTGTCGATGGGTGGCTGTTTCAGTATTTGGGCATACACCCATCGACATTCATTATTTTCGCTTCCTCTTTGTGCTGATCGGCAGTAATGCGTTCACAGCTTAGCCACTAACTGATAGATAACTTTGATGTTCTTCCCCTAAAATAACCTCTTTGTCTCTGACAAATAAACAAACTAATCATCTGAGCACTTTTTACTAAGATCATGTTTTCTAATTTCTCTCTTGGTATCAGTACTTAAAAGTAGTTAAGGTACTGGTTAGTCTCTTACCGGTGCAAATTGGTTTAACTAAGGCTGGCCAACTGTTAGACAATAGTAACACAACCAGACTCTTAGGACTTCAATGAAATAATTAATTTCCATGGTTGAATTTTTTTTAGGATGAATGGTAGATGAATCAATGGATTGAACTTTTTCAAAAATCTCTCTGTTTGGTTGATTACATTGGTTTTTTTGGACAGGTATAAAGGGTACTACATGGTTCATTTCTGTAATCATCCTCCTCATCACTGTTGCACAACACTACTTCCTGATTGGTTCAAATGTCAGTGTGCAATTTTGTTTTGATAAATAATATATCTAAATAGCCAATAAGGTTTGACTTTTCGAATTTTCCAGGTCAAATATTCTTTAAATTTCCTATTGGTTAATTACTGTCAACCCCAAATACAAATCAATAATATACACAACTGTGTGCACTTAAATTCTATAGGGATATATTCACTTTCTTACTGTTAAGTGCAATTTTGAAAGATAGTCAGTCAACGACAAAAACATGTCATTTCAATTATTTTTAATCGCCATCTGTATTACCTTCACATATGCCTGGCAAAGTGATGATGGCGGCTTCTCCAACAGTTATACACCTGCAAATAATCGAAATAATCCGACTATCGATGATGATATGGAAGATGAATGTAAAAAGTGTGATCAGAAGAAGTGTCCACCGATTACACAATGCAATGTTGGCACTGTACGTGATAAATGCGGTTGTTGTGATATATGTGCTCTAGAAGAAGCTCAACTATGTAATATACCAGAAGATTTTAGAAATGGTGTCCTGAAGTCAGGTATCACATGGCATGGTATATGTGGTACAGATTTGGAGTGTCGTACACGTACAGATATTGATTCTAAGGTGATTGGATCACAGAGTATCTGTTATTGTGTTAAGTCGGGTAAAGTTTGTGGTTCAGATGGTGTGACCTACTCAAAGTGTAAGATGAATGCGACTATTATTTCATCGAACGGTATGATCACCGCACTGAGTGAAGGACCTTGTCAAACTGGTAAGCCTTTCCTTTATCATTATTTGGTTATGTATTTTTACATTATGTATCTTTCAAAACAAAGTTGAGCTCATTACCTTCAGACTTGGGACAAAATAAGTTAACTTTAGGCTAAGGTGCTGGACTGACGGAAACCTCTAAATTTCTCCGCACTGCAATCATTGGGTGTTTAATCGGCATTCCCTTACGTGCAAAGGTAATGCATGATTCCCATGAAGAAATGAGGCAATTTTTCTTTCATCGAAGAATGTTCTTTGTTGACTTCTCCCATCTATAGTTAATATTATATATCTCGTCGGTTTTTCGTCTCCCTATTATTTCACAATTCTGTTAACATTTTTAAAATTGATACTAGGTGATGAATGAAAGTGAATTGAAAATTTAGGCGGCAGGAGGATTCAAACCAGCAACTATCGGGTTCCTTACGCGGTGCTCAATCATCTGAGATACTTTGAAGTAAACGATTGTTAGAAAGGTTAAATTTTGATTTTAGTTCCTTAAAGGCCTTTATATGATGTCTTATCGTTTGTGAATAAGAAATACAACGTTCTAGACGTTGTTATATGTGGAAAGAAACTTCTGGTCACAGTTTGCTTTTCTTGCGCTCATAGCTGTGGCTATGCAAGTGATTAGTTTGGTGCACAACTGTTCATTCTAGTGTATTCATTCCACGCGATTATCCTATGAAACTGCTTTTCACTAGATGATAAGAATAATATCTACTACTCTTATTTCCATTCGTCATCTCACTCACTCACTCACTAATGCATGCATGTATACATACATATTAATTTTACGCTCGCAATGTAGCATAATTCACTGGTTCTTTGTACATATAAAAACCGACCAGTGCACGATAATTGCTTGTTTAACCGAGTTATTTCAGAACTACAATTTCACAAGTAAATAAATTTGCTGTTAACACAAAGCTGTTTAACTGAGCTACATAGTAAGATTGAAAACCAGTCTTTAGTAAAATATCCTTCAAATAAATAAAACAATCCGATCAAACCTACTTATCGGAAGTTCATGCTCCCTTTTTTTCTACCAGTATAGTTGTGTAAATTGCTTAAGTAGTCTGACGGTTTCCATAGATAGTAACAATTATGAAAGGCTGACTGTTTTTGTACTCTTTTTTATTCGTGGGTAATTAAAATCACTGTTCACTTTCTCCATTCAAAGGCAGACATTGGTTACCTGCCAGTCGATTAGCCTTTATTCGCTATGCACACAAGTTTTACACAACACTCAGTTAGTTTGCAACAGAACACAGAGACACTATTTTATATTTACGAATCTACGGTGGTATGAGTGTGGCATAATGATATAAAATTATCTTATCATCTCAAGAAACACTGAGAATCTGGCATCACCGGGAGGCTGTTTTGTCCTAGTATCGGACGCCTCAACAGTACACACCCATGATCTCTCCAGAGATTGAACTCAGAATCTCCAAGCCTTACTGAGAACGCGTTCAGCCACTTGATTGAATTTGGGGGTTCCAGGTCTCCTAATCCTCTCGATTCACAATAGGGTACGACAATGTACGTAGGCCTTCAGTTGGCATTCGCTTCAGTTTCGTTTTGGTTGGTTGGCTCCATAGGTCACGGCATGTGTTTATAACTTCAAGATATCTATGTCGAAGCTTGTCACTAATGAGCACTAAAGAGTAATGTATTTTGAGGTACACAGTGGTGGGCTAGATCGTGAGCTGATAAAAGTAGGAGACTGTATCACTGAACTCTGTCTGATCCAGTGGCTTAATGGTAAACACGTTCTATCCCTAGTCCGGTTGTCTATGCGTACATATGAGGAGTTCGGTATCAGGACGAAAAGGGCTGTCTAGTGCAATGGTTCTGCAATTGATGTCAGTCTGTGGTGAATACAACTCTCAAACACATGAAATCACCGTGAACGTTCAGTAAAATAAAGTAATTTCACATTTGTAGTGTATATTCAAGCAAGCGGCTGATACAATTTCCGATAAACATAAAAATCCAAGTATTTGCGTGGATAAAATTATGCAACTTTGCCATCACCTTGTGGATTTGTGAACTTGAATAATTAGATAGCAATCCTTAAGCACAAGCATAATTAGAATGTACACGATTAAGGATTTAACCTGCCAGTATGTTTTGCTTCCCTGAACAAAAGCTAGTCTATGAGTAGGAGAACAATTTTTATCTGGTGAAAATGCATCAAATATTTCCTTTCTTCAAGGTCATTAAAAGATGCTGAGGAAAAAATCTTAGCGTAACTTATTCTTACTGGCCTAGGAAAACACTCATTTATCTTCCAGATGACATCGTCATAGATGGGATCAGCATAGACGAGAAACTGACACTTAGAGACTTCTATCTCAGTGGTCAGTTGGTCATACTGTTCATTTCTATTTTGTTTGAGTGACTTTAAAAGCCCCTCCCCCTTAACAGCTGATAAGATAATCAATTGCTTTTCCGCAATTTATGAAGAATCTATTTCCTAAGCTGAAATTCCAGAATCTGAGTGATTATTTCAGCAGTTGCTATGATGGCCGTTACATTCACTTATTTGTTTGCTTTGTATCAGATTCAAACATACATGTGATTCATTATTCATAAAAAGCGATTTGAAAAGTATTGAGATAGAAAGTTCTTCATGAGCCCTGATCCAGGTACAGTTGTGTTTATATAGTATTGATGGATAGTGGCTAGCAGTGGAATCCAGAATGCTCATTGCCTCCTATTTGGGACTCGTCAGATAGATATGGGAACAAAGTCACTCACTGGGAGACAGGTGAATCCAGCTGACGAGTCCCAAATAGGACGAAATCCGCATCCTGGATTCCACTGCTGGCCACTATCCATCGTTACTATATAGCGTTAAAACAGGTAATACCATGACATCCGCGCAGGAGCCCTTATGCCAATACAGACCAATCAATTAGGTTCACTCAACGACGGCATAATACAAACAACAGTACAGTTGTGTTTAGTTCATGTGTATCTTTTCGGCTGGTAAACAGATTCCTTTTTATCTGCATCCTAAATGATTTTGTTCCTTTGGATTAAGAATATTGAGGAATGTGACTTCAGTTACTGACATCATTTGTTGTTCCTTCTCCGTTATAAATTTGGTCTCAACGCTCATCTCCCGTAAATTGCTTTACTGTCATGCTTCTATTTAACCAAAGTTCTTTTACAAACGTTAAATATGTGGATGGTTAGTGGCTGACTGGTTAAAGTAAAGTCTATACGTGATCTTAGATTATGAATGTTGTTCATTTGTATCATAATCATCACTAGCAAAATAGGATCAAGCATTACTGATACCGGTCCAAGTTGCCACACCACATATCAGGACATCAACCGAGGGAGCATGCATGCAGAAGAAAGTGCTAAACCAGTAAAAGGAGGAGTGAGACAGTACTGAATTCAGTATGACGATTGTGTGGATACATCTGCACCATTGAGATGGATTCTGAGTCATGTCACCTGCAGTCTCCAACCATTGGTTTCTGTTGTCACACGAACCTTAACCGGGGACTCTAGTTATAATATCCATACAGTGTATTTTTGTGGTTAGAATTGTCGACAGACTGTTGAACTGTTTGTCATCAAACAGTTAACATTTATAACTATCAGCTATTCAACCATTAATTTCCATACATGCAATAAAAAAATTTCTCGATAAAAGTGCTTATAGGGTTGAACATCAATATGCTTCTTTAGCAGACTTGTTAATGAATATGAAAAGATGGGTTCATGTAGAGCCACTTTCCTTTCATTTTGTTTTTAGAGGATATGACTAATGCTAACTACTGACTGTATGTAGAGCGATAATGGATAAGATTAACATAGACGTGCATGTGTCGAAGCATGAAAATCGATAACCGATAATTTCTGTGACTGCTTGGCTTGGTACTTCTTGATTGCTTAGTATTACTGGTTGTAGTACTGGGTTACTTGACCTTTCTCTGATGGCACACAATTTCTTTTGACAGATGCCACGATATTGCCTCAAGCTTTATTTTGATGTTATTTTCTTGGTGATATCTAGAAGTGTAATCCAAGAAGCACTTTTCTTCCTAGCTGGGAATCATCAGTTGAATGTACCTAGATCCCAGAGAATGATAGTGTCCTACCTGGGACTCGAGCCAAGCATTCGCCATTTCAAACGCTAAGACGCCATCCATTTAGTGGGTGAGTCACGATAGACACCCATCGTGCAACTGGTATCATTTATTGTCCATGACTGCGTCTCAAACAAAAAAGGTACCCGAAGTAAACTAATCATTAATGAATAACTGAGACATACGTGGTTTACTGGGTGTCAACTTATCCAAGTTATTTTTTCAAAAAGTATCCTGAATAAGCATATTATTAAGCCTTCAAATATTTTCGTTTCGTTTTTACTACTTATTAGTAGTATGATTATTTACGGTACATTTTCAAGATGTGGTGCGATATGAGGTTTTATCGTATCCTGAGCATCTGCAGTGCCTAAGTGCGTATGGCCCACTCTTTTTAACACTTAGATGAGTAGGATTTCAAAGGTTCATTAGTTTCAAGTTAAAAAGCTATGAATTTTAATCATTTCTGCTTCGTATAGTTTTCTTAATTACACAAGCACTTAATAAGGTTTACTTATTCTACCACAAGCCTTCTCACTGAATTGGCTTTTCAATTCTCAGACGTTTGACGTATTCATTGACTTATGTGTTATTTTGCAATCATTTTGAAACCAAAATACTTTCGCTTAAGTAGCCTGACAAGGTCAGTTTTGTGATGGCTGAACTTATTCATATACACTAATAGTGATTTTGTAGAATTTCTTATGGATGTTGAAATCTTTGGTAATAAAGTCGGGAAGTCTGTCTCATCTCTTTAATTGATATTCAGTTAACCAATTTATTCAACAGCATAAACTGTGATCTACCTCAGTTTGTAGGTGGACAAGTTCTAGAAACAATAATAAAGTGAATGACTATACTGGTCATAGAACATAAAGAATACTGAAAGTTTTCATTAAATCCTGATATTTTGTATGCGTAGATTGAAAACGTTGAGTCACTATCAGTTCCTTCAAAGATTGTGTATATTACTGAATAATTTTGATATTGCCTAAATCGACCTTGTGACTTGGAATTATAGCATTTAGATGGCTGAAGTGTTACCAAGCTTTTTCCGATGCTCTGGATTTCTAGGAAGTCGAGAGGGAGCTCTTCGGTGTTTTTTTTTCAAATTTTGATTTCACCGGAACTTTGTCCTATATCTGTTGCATCGCATTCTGGGTATTTTACTTTGTAAAATTAATTAGATTGTGAATCTAGAAGGACCTCGTCCTTCAAATAAATTAAGGTGCTCTGCAATGTGTTTGATGTTCTGTAGAACACTCTGACATTGTATTTGTTGAGGACTGTCCTGATTTCATCTGGTGTGCGTGGTCTGTATTAATTAACTACTGTTGAGGTCCATGATTTAAGAGCAGTTTTACGATCGAATTTCATTATTTTCCGTTTTGCGAACGAACTTGATTTGGATATTTACATAATCTAGTTTCTGCTGTTAAATTTACTAGAAGTATTTATGAATCTACTGAAAAAGCCTGCTTCCTCAATGTCACCCTTGTCGTTTCACACACGGGTTCCACTCGAGGGTCTGACCTGACCTGACCTGGCCTGGCCTAACCTGACACGTGATGTCCCTAAACGGTCTTCTCAGTGTGTGTCCAATCTAATCCAATCCAATCCAATCCATCTCCAATTTCTTCTATTGCATATTTGTTAGGCGGTAGGTTGTAGGTCGGTTGGTTCGTTGTCAGCGAGCCAGCCAGCCAGCCAGTCAGAGTGAGTTGCTTGTTGCTTATTCTTTCTATTCTGGCCATCTGATCTTGAGTAGTATTGAGTGAGCGTAGGCGACATCTGTTCATGTATGCGTGTAGTTTGTTGGGAATGCTTTTCGTACTGCGCAAACTCTCTGAACCATCACATAGAAGCACTGACTCACTTGACTGACATTGGTATTGAAAATGTGGATGTTGTTCACGCTTTATGCTGATTGGAGTGTACTAGATCTCCACACTGATTTCATATTGATGAAGGAAGGTGTGTCTTGTTGTCTTTCCGATTGTTACTTTGACATCCTGATCTGTGCCTATGGGGCGTGTAGTTGAGACGATGCTGCTTAGGTAGGTGGGTGGAAGAGACAACTTGCTTTAGATTTCTCGTGTTGATGATGATTGGTGCTTATTGTTGTTGTTGTTATGTTGGTTGAGTATCTCCATCACCTCTGTCTGCTCTGCGTTCACCTGAAGGAAGTCCAGTCTTTACTGCCGTGTCCTGCCTCTCCTGCCAACTTGTTAGTTTTCGCCTGTAGGTCTTCAAGTTTGTGCAGCACCAGACAGAGTAAATATTCTTGCCACTGAGGCTAAGTAATTATAAGTAACTTTTTTAAAAATGTACATCAGCATATAACTTTAATTAGGATCTGTTAATTTGAAATAAGTTTTCATCAGCTAGCAAACTATTGGAAACCTGTCCACGCTAGACAGATGTCTTTCTCCTAGTTGGCAACTCATTAGGAGTGTGAACAGATGATTTCATGAGGAATCAATCTGAAGACCATCAGTTCTCACAGGGAACACTTTACCATTCTGCTACTAAGTTTTAACGATATAATTCATTATTTCCTACTTTTATCAACTTATGATGCAGTGTGATCATCACTGAATATTATCACTTCCAAAATCACAAGTTATGTTTCAATAAATTTTGGTTTACGTCACATTGTTTTTGCATGGCAAAAAATTTTTTTGTGCTCATTTCTTTGCATATATCTCAAATTTTCTCCGTTCTATTTGTGGTTAGCATTGAAACGGTGCGTTTTACATTCAACATATACACTACCATTCGTCAAGGCCCATCATAACTTGTAATATGGAATTCGGAATACTTAAAGGTTGACAGTACATTCATTGAACAGTAATTTTGTTGAATTATTTAAATGGGTTGTTTTTCAAAATGCTACATGGAGCTTCATAAAGAACTTTCAATGTGTTTAAACATTTCAACTTGATTGGTGGTAGGATGAAAAAGCTGTTTCAAAATTTATTATGAGTTACATAGATGATACTTTCATCATCTATTCTGTTGAGAAGAAAACATGATGATACCTTAAGGAAATTGATTCAGAGGAAATAAACTTGAAATGTTGTTTCTGTGGCCGCAGAAATCATTGTAACTAGTTGTATACACAGTAAAATACAACACTACCATCCAAAATCATAATAATCAGATTCATACATTATACTTTCACTATATATACACACACATGGTTGATAAGTTCTGGTATTAGTGCTTAACTACTTTTTTTTTGCAAAACATCTGAAGTTCTATCCATGCGATTATTCGTCAATGCCTGTATTTCTTTGTTGTTATACTGGATCGGATTGATCGACCTCTTTCGGTATATAGGCTTCTGTGTGGACGCCTCAATGTCATCTGAATATCTGTTATTATGATTTACCTGATGATGGTCGGCATTCGAATCTGTGACGCGAATTCCTTATTATTTTGGACTTGTCAGATGTATTTATTTGCACCGCAGTGAATGATGGTGTTCCCACTGTGACTTGAACCGCCTAATCTTCTCTTCAAACAACAAAGCGTTATTAATTAGATCACTGAGGCGGTTTTTTATAATTTGCTTATGTTCGTAATTTCCCGTTGTTATTCTAAATCGAACTGATTGATCTCTTTTGGTAGATTGGCTCCAATGAGGGCGCCTTGATATTACCTGAATCCTCATTATTATAGTTTTTATTTGTCTAAGAGACTTCATGAATGTGTTATTAAATGGTGAACTAAATTATTTAATATTCTTAAAGAAGTGACATAATGTAACAAATCAGGTGTGTTCTGCAAATCCCCCCCTTGTAGGCAGCCAAAATTCAAATGGTTTGAACAATTCGGCTGTCTGAACTGATACAGTTAGAGTAGACCACTTATGAGATTGGCTTCAAACGAGATTATATCATTTCGATCTAGCTATCAGGCACAGGTGATCGATATGAATGTTAGAGAACTATTCATTCCAGTCAGTAGTACATCACATGCACCTTTATAGTTTACCTTATTGTCATGAATTTTCATTGAGTAAAGTTTTTGAAAACTTAACTGATGAACATATTTGATTTCAGTGTATCTTTTTATAATTGTAACATAAATCTTAGTTTTATGTAACCAGTTGCATGGATAGGTATGTCTACTTCAATCTCCGATCTCTTACAAGCTTGTAGTGAATTCAGAGGGTAACTGGGAAAATGTTTTACCACTCACTTGCATATTTTTCAATGTATTGACGAGGTATTACCTCTGTTTATTCCTCTCCCTTTCTCTAATAGTGCCAACGGTTAAACTCACAGCATTGAATCAAACTGTCACTGAAGGTACAAATGTTACATTGATATGTGAAGCTCGTGGGTATCCAATACCAACTATTACTTGGTACTTTAATAAACCAAATGAAAAACAGGATAAAATTCAAATGCCAGGTGAGTAATACTTTAGTTTATTGAACTTTTCTCTTCCTAAATTCAATTTGAACGTTTGAGGAGATTTATTGATCTACGCGGTGAGTACGTTACCAGTGAACCATTGAGTCAGAATCTGATTTTCGATATTTTGTTACTTCCGTCGATTGACAGTATAGCGCGATTTTCATCTAATGCCGTCATTGAGTACCTGTTCTGACGTCTGACATGGTTTGCCCCATCAGTCATGACTTCTCATTAGAATTACGGGATATCTCATCTCGGAGCAAGTTACTAATGAGTACAAGTCAGACGTGAGGATGAGTATCCAATAATGGAATTGGATAGAGGTTGTGCTATATCGTGAATCAACAGGGGTAGAGGAGTGTTGACCTCGGGATTCCGATTTATTGGCTCAGTGTTAACGTGCTGGCTGTAAAACTTGGAGGTTCTTGGTTTCATCCTTGGGATGGGGCCATAGGAGTTCACTGTTTAGGAATTACATAGTAGGACGAAACAGCCGTTCATTACTCCAGGGATTCAATGATTCTCCGACTAATCTCATTCCATGATGAATATTGGCCTGAAACATTCTTTACTTTAAAAATAGTTTCAACATTTATGAATGGTTTATTTGGGATCTGAAACTAGCTGGTTCAATGGGGGACTGCTCAGTTCCTAGACTTCGACTGTTCAAACATTTATGTCAGGGATATGTTGAACAGCTTCAAAGTTCAGTATCCTTTCATTTTCACTGATTTGACTGCAGATATCTAAAATAGCTTCGAACGTCAACGATTATCTATTCCGAACGCACGCTTAGCTGACAGCTAACTTAGTACACAAGAGCCACTGACTGCAACCCCGGGGTGAATAGAGAGAAAACCAAAGTTGGACGATGGGAGAGTTTATTCCTCCGCTAATATAATAATAATAATCAATCAATCCCAAAACACGTGAATGTGTACACATGATAAATAACCTTGTTCCCAATTTGAGACATTTGCATGGTAAGAGTAAAGATTAACCAATCAGCGATTTACATTACAATAGGGACAGAAAATAGATTACTAGTCGTACCGTAAAATAATGGTGTGGAAATGACACGTTAAAATGTTCAGATCAATAATAATGTTTTATACAATACTGTGGCATCACAACACATTCGTAGTGAAATATCAGTTTTTAGAAGGGGATTGATTTTGCCGATACATGATGAAAACCTGGATGAAAACTGGATAATAACTGCATACAACGAGAAGTTATGAATATTAAAAAAAGCCGAACGGATTATTTCCATAGAAGTTTAAATGTTTCAACTAGAAGCATATTGTATTTACTTTACTGCCGGAGTTCCTTCGAATAACGTTTTCTCTCCTGCTAAGAAATGTATTAGAAACACAGACTACTAAAAATCAACAAGAAACTTGTTATTCAGTTTTTCCTAATCTCCAGTTAGTACAATACGCCATCAGTGAACTTAACAACTACGTCAATCACTTCATTTAAAGCAATTGGAAGCCCAGTAATGACTGTTATACGTATATGTATATACACTGTCCTTAGGAGGAAGTGTTTTTAATGATGCAATAAAACAAAGATGAACAATATTTTGAAAAAGTCTAGCATCATATATGGTACAAATTAGTAATATAAACCGCAGGATATTTTAGCGGGAAAGGTGTGAAATTCAAATTTTTCCTAAAAAAATGAAGGGTAAGGCTAAAAGTTATCCCCAGGTGTTATCTTGTTCGCCATGGGTTGTAGGGTTGTTTGTGAAAATATAAAAATTTTCTGCCTTCTGTACGAATATTCTATCTATTTGCATAGATTTCACATTATTGATGCTAGGTGATGATTGAAAGCTGAGGTCACGTGTCCAATGTTATGCGATGTGATCCGGTGGCTAACTAGATCTTAACTACACTTCCATCACCTATGGGCTTTACCCGGTTTGAAGTCAAGTGTAGACGTAGTCACTGGCTTGGGTTCGCAGCTCACTTGATAGCGAGCTGAGATGCTAAACCTGAGGCAGCTTGTTTGAATCATAATGCGAACGAGGTCTTTATTCAAACTTTAATCGACACACAGCATCATTTGTGCTAGTCTGCCCAACCACAACTAACTTAGATATTTTCATAAACAGTTTTTCAAATAAATCAGGCTATTCAACAGTCTTATGAAACATGAGGTTACAGAAACCATTGATCACCTCATGTACATCGTCTGATTTTCTCCTCATCCTACGTTATTCTGTAGATAAGTGCAAATGGATGTCACCGAAAAGGCCAAGGAAAATAATACGCTTTTTGATAGATCCTTGGCTATCATATAGATGAGTGGACACTTGAACAATAGCCTCAAGATTCTAACTTTGATGGCCACTCAGGCCCTCGGTAAATATAAAAGACAGTTAAACAACAGAAAATGTATTGCCACGTCAAACTATATACAAAATATATAGGTTGATATATATTCACGGTGGCCTTTAGTATTCCTAGGCCTTTTTAGGAGGGCATATGCTTCCGATTTCGCCTCTTCGAGCAATCCGGTATTTACACGTAGGTTCGCATGCTTTTTCGCAACACTTCAATCGAACACGATTGGTTGGGAAAGGCTCCAGACATTCAGTGCTTTCTTTGCGGGTTCGGGAAAATTTATCACACACCCTTACAATGTTCTAGTAGTCATTGAGTAAATATGCTTGTAGTTGCTTGAATTAGTACGGTTTTCTCTTCGGTGATGCTAATACCAGTGGTTGTAATGCATGTGGATATCATTTGTCAACACAGTTGTGACATTTCAGTCTAAAAACTTAGTTTGTCGGCAACCAGAAGGCTATTACTATAAATTCTACTTTGACTGGGATTTTCATTTTATCCCAACCAATATATCCTCCTCACTATTTCCATAGTTAGCATCTTTATTTCCAACTCTTAGTCTGTATAGACGATCGTAGAAGGTAGGCAGGATTTCAATCAGAATGAATTGAGATTCAACATAAAAATGTCCTACTGGAAACTTCTGATAAACTACTGAACATATTTCAGACAGTTTCGAATTCAATCACACAAAACAAAGTATATTGTTAGATGTAACGAAATTGAGTTCTTGTGAAAGTCGGTATTCAAGGCCAACTATTAGGAATTGAAAGAAAATTCAAACTTTAAATAATTATTCGCATGACAACGTTACTGAACTCCAGTGTTACAAGTTTCCAAACTGTTTTACAATCTTGGAATATTTAGATTCTTAAACTGATAAGCTGAAGATTGCTAATTCAAAATAGGGATAATATCTTAGACATCTTCCAGTATCATTTTAGTATACTTACATTACTGGTAATTTCATCCGTTACCATTCATTCATACTATTCAGTTCTAAGGGAAATCGGTTTTTGGCTTGAATAGGTTACTGGTAAAGTTTTCGGCTTCAGCACTGAATGATGTTAATTTAAATCTGTAGAGGAACGTGAGTTTCTTCAAAATTTCAGATATACCATACTAATCTGTGCCAAAAAGTACAAAACTTGTGTAAGACATAGCTTTGTATTGCCTGACAATTAGGGTTCAACGCCTAATGACCATTGCACTTACTTGGTAACTGGGATCACTATCTAGGGGCCTCGTTTCTCCAACTGAAACTTTTCATTACTTCACTACTGTTTATTTTAGTTACTTCTTTTCTCTTTTTGAAGGTAACTATAAAGATGTCACTGTCAGTGTTCGTGGTGGAACTGAAGAAACGCATACAATATCCTACTTACAAATAACAAATTTCAGTTTGGAATATGAGGGTGAATATGTCTGTATGGCTGATAATATTGTTGGAATTAAAGCTCAAGGCACATCACTTGTCAGAAATGCAGCTTCATCATCTTCACAAACAAAGTTTCCTTCCAGATCACAATTTCATATTAATTAAGCAGGCTATTAGCATTGATATAATGTGTAGAAGTAATTAAACTTTAAGAAGATAAAACCATACACTTCAAAAAAATATATAAGAACAATTATACTGATATTGTTTAAATAAGTAATTTTTCTTGGAATTTTTATCTAAAACTTTATTTATTCTTTATATGAAGTAAGCATCTGCGCATATTCAATTACTTTCGTTGTATTAATTAAAACAAAACCATTTATCGTCAGCTGAATATTTCTCTTACTCTGATTTCGCATGGAACAATTGATCATTGAATGAAAAAGTAAACATTAATCAATAAAACCGTGTTCATTAGCAAACTAGAAATTTTCTATTCTTTGTCTGCATTAAATCATGTAAATGGACGAAAATTCAGAATCTTTGCGAGTTGAGTTTTGTCATCTAATAAAAAAAGTAAGTTATCAACACTGATATTTGATCACCATGCCTTGTTTACAAATGGAGAAGTGACTGTCAAAGATAATATTCAGGTTAAGAGCGGATGTATCTCTGCCAACACTTGAGGAAAACTAGTGATTACCTGGAACCGAGTTCTTTGGTGTTTATAGATGTATCATCATTCAACGCTCTGTTGATATACCATAGTAGGTGTTACTCATTAAATGAAATTAGAAAGACGTCAGAATGTCTAATGACTGCCAGTAAACTAGGTGATCTTGTATGAATTCCTGTTGTAAACATTGTAAGCAATAGTATATAGCGTAGAAGTTGCATGCGTCAGTGTTCTGTGGACCCGCACTGGACTGAAGTTTGATGTCGTGACAAAGTGTGATGACCAGCTGTCAATAGGTTTTCGTTTAGGCTGTAAGTAGGTACCTTGGTGCATAAGGGCTAGTGCAGGAGTAAGTTTAGCGATGACCATGAGAATATGGAACGGAAAAAAGGAAGAGGAAAACGTTAGCCAACCACTCAGCAAGTTCAAGGGATCGCACCATTGTATGATATTTGTAAATGGAGAAGTAAGTGAGCGCATTAGAGTACATTTAGGGTGAATGAGCAGTTATGATGTGCAATGTTCTTGCTCAAATCCTTCACAAAGCCTAAAGTCCCTGAAATCCTTCAAAGATAACCACTATATTCTTAACTTTAAAGGAAAAGCATATGATTTGCAGACTGGTTGATTGCCCTTGTAGAAAAGATTGAGGTCTAAACAAGCTGTGGTGAACGTATCTTTCAGTTCAACTGACCAATCACATTGAAGATGTGAAGTTACCGTACTACAGGCTTACCAATAATATCAAAGCCAATAATTCTCGTGCAAAAGTATGCAAGCTTTTGGTTGATCCTACCATATTTTTAGGTAAAATATTGTAGAATTCACTGCATTATTGAACTTTCTACGTGAAATATGTGATGTTACTTTAGGACCCAGGGGTTATGGTTGCCGACATTTATTAAACTATTATTCTTTCCCTTGGGAATCAGAAATAGATGTCTGGGCTTAGAAAGTTGGCTTTAAAAGCTGAGCTAAGTTTTGTAAGGTCCAAGTGGAGGAGAGTTCACTATCGATATTAGTTTGGAAATCTCTGCTACGGAGTTTTCTACCGTCAAATTCAGTGAAAATAATAACTGCGTGGATTATCTCATAAATTCCCTCGCTCCATCTCTGTTCTTATAGGATGTGTCTGTTGACTGCTCGACTCTGCAGTGAATTATGATGAGAAGCTAACAAGTGTATTTGCCTATACAGCATCACTATAACGCAGCTAAAAACATTTGGCGATTTTACCATACTTCGCATGATTTATCAACTACTCTGTCTTTAAACAGATAGTTGGCAAGACATGTAAGAAAGACGACCAGGTACAGTAATGTTGTGAATCTAGTCCACTACAGGAATGAATTTCACAACGCCTTGAGTTGGCACAGAATTTCCAGGTAGTGACCACAAGGTAGTGTCCGGTGACTTCAACATATCTCTTAATGTCAGCTGACGTCATAACGTGTTAACGTCTTTGATAAGAAGCTACAGAAGTGCTAATGCGGACAAAATGCAATCATTTCTGAGTAGCCTAGAATACTGTCCTTACTCTTACAGTAGATCATTCATAGAACTATGTGATCCATTCTGCGAATGCATTGGCAAACCTCATGATTTCATTGCTCCTGCATATTGAATAAGAATGAAAACCCAAAGTTGTTTCCATTCCAGTGAAGGTACACTACTAAAAGTCTAATAATACCGCAGAGGTCTGTGGAACTAATGACTTTTCTTCCCTTATCATGCTCACACCTATGTAAGACATGTTCAACTCAAATACTATACTTGAAGCTGCCAAACAAGAATGCAATCCTCAGATCAAATCTCTTGGTAATGAGAATTTAATGAAGCTTACAGAGTCTCGAATATGCAATTCAAGATTGAATGTTTCTAGTTTATCCATAGACAACAGAAATCTATGCGACAATCCGTTTTGGATTTGCGAGCTGTGGAACTCTCTGTTTGCTAGCTTCTTTGCACTCTAAAAGAAAGTAAAGGAAATCAATGTACTACACTACGATCACTGAATTACTGTCCAGTAATGTGCTATTCCCTCAACAAAAGTGACATCTGTGACTGCAGTACTTTGAGCCGAGTATATTGTTTAACCTGACTAAATTCCATTCATCTTGCGAAATTGGAGTGGTAATAAAATACTGTTGTTACTCTGTGAGTTTTATACTATGTCCCTCTCCTGCAGTGGGTGGCCAAAGAGCTGGAAATTTCCATTCAAAACCTCTATTCAAAAAATAAAAAAAACACCTATTGGCCGTCAGACATTACTTTGTTAGTATCTAGAACTATTGTAACGGTCGTTATTAAGGGAGTTATCAACTACATTTTAGAAAATCAGTTGATTTCCGTAGCACAACACAGTCGCTTATTGAGCTATTCATGTACTAATTAGTTGGGTGACTTTATGGGCCACCCTAGCAACTGATGAGGCATCTAATTACATTCCTTTATTCTGTGGAAAAGTACTTTCCTAGGCGAAATAAGGAAGCCTGATTAGCCTGTTCAGCAGCTTCTGGGGTGGTCTTTAAAGTCACTCTAATTAATTACGTGACTAATATGAACAATAATGTAGGTAGGCGTGGCCACGTTTTTTCTGGTGCTATGCAAGCTTTCGATACAGTGCGTCGGAAATGTTCAATCAACACGTTACAACAATCCGAATTTCAAGAATGTCTGCTGTCTCAACTAAGAACATCCTCAGATGGTCACTGCCTAAATGATAAAACTCGGTAATTGCTACTACTCTTTTAGACCTACGCAAAGCAGGTTCACTCAGGGTATTGTGCTATGACAATTATTCTTGCTAAGCATGAATGATATCTTCAGCGTCGATGACCTCGGAATTGTTTAAGCTGTCTTAAAGGAAGAAAACTTCACTCAAAGCTAATATGACTGCAATAGTTTGTTCACCTGTAACAAGATCTGGAAACTCCTTTTAAACTATGATGATTCTGTCACCTTGCATTTGAATAGCTCTTATTTTGATGTGAAATTACACCTAAAAGACACTGCCCTGCAGATATTCAGCTGTGTAAGAGACCCTTGCATCGCTTACTTGGAATGTTTACTTATCACGGGGGATGCATGATCTCCTGTTTCCAAAAGTAGATGACGAACTAGTCTTAGAAAAACGTATGGATTTCTGAAGCTGAGAAATTTTAATACAAAGATATGGTCCACCAAATACCTGAGTCGAGAAAAATTGTCTTCGGCAATACAAATGCATCTGACAGAATCCAGGTTTTTGACTTTCACTGCAACTGTTCCAGACATCCACTGAACTATTTAGTGAAAATATTAATCTGAATGGAGAAATTCCTTGTGCTTTTCAACTTAGAGGCAGAATTGCTGCTGAAAAATGTTTTTATGTGGAACTGTTATACATATATTGTTGGGAATGGACAACATAGGAACTCTCAATCTACATACCTCGCCACTAAATGCTATTTTCTTTTCCACATTAGATAAAAAGGAAACATTTTCTACTCTTCACTTATCTTTAGATGTACAGAACGACAATAAGTCAATACGTTCTCACTTTTCTAATGTATTTCAGTTAGGACGCTATTCTAGAGCAATGGCTACACTCAGCCTGAGAGACAAGTGTGCACATTTATCAGAAGGGCTGATAAATTTGAGTTATTTCCTTGGTTATCGTGAGATAAAACATAGTTGAGAACTCATTTTGACTATGCGGGACTGTAAATGGATCATAACTTCCTTGTAATAGTCAAATACAGGTCTTTTTGAGTAAGGAGGACAGAACCTATTCTAGTGTCGCCCTCTGTTATACTACAAATATGTACTTTCCTTGCAAACCAGGTAATTAATGTCTTTGGTGCATTATTCTCTGTCCAATTGTTATACACTGAACCAGTATGTGAGTGGTTTGCTGTTTCATGACAACAAAATTTTCTTCAGAAACTTTTCATGTTGAACACTTCGGAAAGATTCCCCTGTGTCAAAGGAAATGTGAACTGCTTAATTGTTTTCCAAGCTAGCCGCGCAGTTGTCCCATACAGTCAGCATTTTGGCTACATGAAACCTTTCCGACATGAAAACCTCTTAATCAGGGTAATTATGTTATTCTTTTTTTATGAATAGCTAAATAGCTTTTACAATCAGTCTTTTCAGTAAATCAAAGAGAATCGGGAATGAAGCTGGAGAAGAGCAGTTGTTTTTATTCTTTCCATCACCTCAATTAAATTTTAGTGACAGGAAATCTTGATTCTAGTTATTTTGGTAATGAGTTCTTCCATATTGCTTGGCTGAACTATCGGCGATTAGGTTGAGGTTGAGTGTTCAAAACACCGATTATTTATTTTATTGGAATTCCTCAAAATCGTTTTCATAACCACACTGAAGGTATTGTTACTAGCTGAGGCAACATTGTGCATAATTTTGATAAGCAAACGTGGTGCCTGTAAAGCTGAAGAACAATTTTCACAGAGTTCCCTTACAATCTGCATAATTATTCTTTGCTTATCAATGACTGTTTTGAATTTGGTTGGTTTTAATTGGGGATCAGGAACTCCAAAGGTTCACATCTCCGTCATGCTTTGCTTGACACTTTAGTCTGTAACACATGTCCTCTTCATGTCAATAGTCTTAAGTCATCAACAACTGATAGTTTGCCTAGTTTTAGTTTTGACAGTTTATAGAAAGATTTATACGGTTAAGTCATGTACTCTGTGGTTTTTCGCCTAAGACATCCAATAGTGGAACGCTTGAAGTTATGGGGGGTTATGGATACTCCTTATTACTGTTTAGTAATGCGTCAAGTTGTAAGCTCAGCAGCTCAGTTGTTTTCTAAATACTCAAGTATTCCGCACCTGAGTCCTTCACTAACTTGACACTGTTATTTGTTGATCACCTATGTTATATGTAGTGCCACACACTTTGGTTTGTTCTTCTCACTAAGCTAGTTTGTGCGTGCTTACCACAACTTGGGATTCACTGTTGCATA